ACAAAAGGATCCTTTTCGGTTTTGAGAATTTTCCCTACGAAGGTCTCAAGCACAGCTGGAAACGAGTAGCTGTGTTAACCCTCGCAAGACCCCACTGCAAATGTCACAGCAGAGCAGTCCAAACCGTCTTGATTTAGTGGCTGCTTTCCAAGGACTAAAACGTACTTTTCTCCTGTGATATTTATTGACTGATCAGACCGGTCCTGCCCTCATTTAAGTTACTGGAAGTTCCCCTGTCCAACACAGTACAATATAGCCAAGCCCTAGGACTTGGCAGACCGATTTGGACAGGCGCTGACGTTTCAATAGCTGTGGGACTCTGACTACAGTACCTCCGGGACTCGCCCCACCTTGAGAAGGGAGAGACTGCTCAATACACAATTCCTTCGCTGTACAGATACATAATTCTAAAAATACAGGTTAACCATAACGCTTGAGTGTAGAGTAACTAGATGAGGAAGACTTTGTCATAGTCCAGTATTAATTACAAATGCTTCATATCTCATATCACCTAGTGATATTGTTAAATAGCAGCCAAGATAAGTTATTTTGAGAGAAATCAAAGCTCACTTTTGTAAAACATCTCAGAAGTTAAGATCAGATGAAGTTAAATATTCCTCAATTTATTTTCATTTTCCCCAGGCTTTGTTTCTCCTGTTAGTGTTCTACAACTAACAGTTAAACAATCAACTGCCACGTTTAAACCTAGAGCCGCAACTGTTGTGGTTGTGCAATGCCACATATACGATTGTTTCCAGTGCTGTATTGTTTGAGCCAATCTTTGGCGTAACTGCTCTCTTCTCAGGTTTCATATTCTTAAAAAATCCAAGCAAGCCACCTAACTGCAGTTACTTTAGCACTATGAATACAATTTACAGAAGAATTTTATTGCAAAATGGTCTGTATGGCTGCATCTTTTTAGCCACAAACACTGAGTCTTTTTTGCTCTTCAGCAATGCTTTGAAACTGCTGCGCTAAACAAGGAGACCACTGCTAATCAAGCGTTTTATCTTGTTTATAACCAAGAAGCGATGAAAAATTGTGCAAAAGGAGGAAAAAAGCCCAAAGGACCTTAAGTCGAAGGGTGAGACAAAGGACCGGCTGGACTATGGACTTCAGTGAGTTGCACTCTGTGGCGGCTGGAAACCCGCTCAGGCAGGACAGGGCAGACTCGGGAAAGCAGCAGCAGTAAATCCAGTTTACCCAAGTTTTCTCCCATCCTTTTCCCCCCTAGAACCGGGCAGCAAAAAACACGGTGAGGTGCCAAAGCAATCAAGACGGAGCTTACCTGTGCACTTCCTTTTAAAGGTTTCATAGTCTACCCCTTGGTCGCCAGGGACGATTGTGGAGCCATTGTATTTAAAAGTCACCCTTTGGGAAGGGGAAAAGAGAAGGGGAATAATACATTTAAAAGTCACCCTTTGGGAAGGAGAAAAGAGAAAGGGAATAATACATTTCAAAGTCACCCTTTGGGCAGGGGAAAAGGGGAATAATACATTTAAAAGTCACCCTTTGGGAAGGGGAAAAGGGGAGTAATACATTTAAAAGTCACCCTTTGGGAAGGGGAAAAGGGGAGTAATACATTTAAAAGTCACCCTTTGGGAAGGGGAAAAGGGAAGGAGAGTAATGTATTTAACAGTCAGCCTTTAGGAAGGGAAAAGAGGAGATGGGGGAGAATATACTATAAAAAAATCATCCCTGAGGAAGAGGGGGGACAGGAGAAGGGGAATAAGGTCTATAAAAGTCACCCTTTCGGGGGGTGGGGGGGGAGGAGAAGGGGAATCACAGCGCACGGGGCCCTGTCCGGGAGACGCCGGGGGGCCACCTACCAGTTCACCTCGGTGGCATCGTCCCTGACGAGGTTGTACGCCTCCCTGCACGCCTCCTTGTCGATTTTGGTAGCCATGGGGGCGGCCGGGCGGG